AACCAAGATTTTTCCTTGAAAATTAGCAAACTTTGAAGCGTTATAGCTTGAAACCTAATAAAAATCGGGTAAATACATTACAGCTTAATGAATTTGACTTGAAAAGTACTATCGCATGGTATAAAAAAAAATATATAGTTCCATATTTAAAAACGAAACTTGACTATCATATCTCGTTATATAACAAACTTAACAAAAATCCCTTCTCGCTGAAATATGAGCCCCACTTTACCATGCAATTTCGATATTTGAAATTTTGCATTTGACCGATAGTTTTGGAGTTAGAGCGCTGTATCATTAAGGCTTGGACACCCTATATATGTACAGGTATAAACAATATGTGATGCAAAAGTGAATAAACAGTATGGTAGGATGAAGCAATAGGGCTTATAAAGTGAAAGTTTAGTTTTTTACTTTATACCGATAGGCACACAACCGACCACACGCACTGCACACAGCACTATGAATGACAGTTCTTTCTTACACCGTGGTTACGGTATTCCGCAAAAAGGTCCGCGTAATTTAGTACCAACAATGTACAGGGTGTAAAAAAATGTTTGGTCTTGGCAAGCATAGGCGTATTCTACATCTTCAGATCGATGAAGATTTGTAGACAGAAGTTGCCGCAAAATTGTCCTTGACCTTTAATTTCAAGGTCAAATTTTTTTTCATTGCATTGTATTTTACGCATCACGAGGATAAAAAGTGTCAAAGGAACTATGGTTCCAAACTTAACCGTTAGCATAAAAAATAATAGTAGATTTATTACTAATGAAGCAAGCAGTAACTATTGTTTGTTTATCTGCTGTTTATCGGAAATCAAACATAACTGATCATAATCATAATCAATATTACCTTCTATGCTTGAAAAATGTTCATCTTCTACTTCTTCTGCTCAGCCAAAGAATCGATCTATTCTGATGAATATTCCTTAATAGCCGAGCTTGAATGCCAGCTTCAATATGGCCACCATTGTTTTGTAAACACGTCTGTAATCTGTTTTGAATGTTGTTCGTAATACGCTGATATAAATTTGGTATTCTTCTTAGATGTTCGAAGGCATTCTCTATTCGATTTTTTAATCCTAGCACAGTTCTTATTTCGTGCCCCGATCTATATATCTGTTCTTTCATCGCTCCCCATAAGAAAAAATCTAATGGATCGTGAGGCCATATAATTGGTGCAGGTCTTCGACCAATCCATTTGAATCCTAACATTTGATTTAAAAAGTCTCGAACTTGGCGACTAAAGTGTGGTGGTGGTCCATCGTGCATAAAATAAATAGAACGACGCCTCTCACGCGGAATGATTAGACGCAGATCGGTCAACAATCGTGAACGTAAAAACCTAAGGTAATTCTTACTTGTTAATCGATTTGGAAGATAATAAGGACCAATAATTCTGTTCCCTAAAATACCTGCCCACACATTGACTGAAAAGCGTCTTTGATTGAAATGTTGTATCATGGCATGAGGGTTTCGATAATTCTATATTCTAACATTTTGTCTGTTTTGTAAACCGGGGTTAGAAAAACTACTCTCATCCGTGAAAGTAATATTTTTTTAAAAATTTGACAAAACTTCCGCATCAATTTTTGGCGAAATGGTCAAATTTGAGCCCATAGTTCCTTTGACACTTTTTATCCTCATGATGCGTAGAATACAATGTAATGAAAAAAAAATTTGACCTTGAAATTAAAGGCCAAGGACAATTTTGCGGCAACTTCTGTTTACAAATCTTCATCAATCCGAAGATGTAGAATACGCCTATGCTTGCCAAGACCAAACATTTTTTTACACCCTGTACAAGCGGAACGCTCAAGTAGAAAATCTTCAATTCTTCACAACTTGCATAGCACGAAACTACCAAAGAATATTATTCTACAGGGTGTCCCAAAACTCGGGGAGGAGCCGGAAATGGGGGGTAGCTGAGACGATTCTGAACAATTTCCTTTGCAAAAATGTCGGATGGGGCTTCGTTAAGGAGATATTAAGCGAAAACCCCGACCAATCAGAGCACGCGTAGACCGTTGGAGCGGCCGCGGTAGCGAAGGCTAGACGGCAGCGTCAATGTCCTTCGATTCACGTCGAGTCACTTGTTCGCGTACAAGCGCGGCCGCCAGAGCGTAACCTTCGCTACCGCGGCCGCTCCAATGGTCTACGCGCGCTCTGATTGGTCGGGATTTTCGCTTAATATCTCCTTAACGAAGCCCGATCCGACATTTTTGCAAAGGAAATTGTTGTTCAGAATCGTCTCAGCTACCCCCCATTTCCGGCTCCTCCCCGAGTTTTGGGACACCCTGTATAGAGCGGAGATATCATAAGCTGAGATTCCTTACTCCACCGCAGGCGGCACTGCAGTCGGAAATCTTCGCATCTTACAACACTGTTGCAGAGAGACGAGGACAGGGCGATTAGGCTAGCATAATTTTTTTCCAGGATATTGAAGCAAAGAAGCAATATTTTCTAATAATTCTGGTTTTAATATATTCATTACACTTTGGCGGATGCGACTCCAAGGCCTGATTTTGTAATTTCGGCCTTAAAACATCATAAACAATAAAATAAAGATAGCAAATGTACTTTTATTATTTATAAAGTTTTGATTTGAGTATGAAAATAAAGTAGATTTAGTACACACTAAAAGATTTTTTTGGAATTGGAAACGTATGTAAGATTAAAATTGTTACTGTATTTATTTTCAATACCTATTTTTTTTTTTTATGTAATATTGTATATAACGTATTATAAATAAGGAAATAGTAATTCGTTTTTATTTGAATTATATTAAATTATTTAATATCTGGCTTTCATACATTTTTATTTACAGTTATATTAAAACATTGTATAATTTCTGTGATGTATGTATGGAAGTGAGTAATCATTCTGAGCACTCAGTCTCAGTGGACCATTGTACTCTGGTAATTTTCACGTTACTGTCATATTATAAAATGTGAATTTATTACTACATACAATAATTGATTTTTCTTTCATTTTTATTTATTTGCTGGTGGTTTCTCCTAAAATAAAATATAAAATATGATATATATGTAATAATGGCTAAATAATAATTATTAATATTTAATAATACGTAAAGAACGATTTAAATGAAATAAAAGGAATAATTGTATGAACACTGGTGGAGGTGGAGAGGGGTACCTAATTACTTCCATTTACTTAAACTTTCCTGATTGTTTGTATTTTGAGTTTCTTCTGTATGTGAGTTTTCCTTCAATATAATTGATTCTATAGGTTTTAGATGATCTTCATTATTATGATGAAATAAAGTACTTCGAACTTCTATGTTATCTTCATCGTGCTTTCCAAGAACTATGATTAAAACTTTCATTCAAAAATCAATTTTGTAGAAAAGTGATAAAAACATCAATGTCACAATTCATAATTGTTGTACGTTATAATTAGATGTCAAAATATATTAAAGGTAATGATTGGAAGTTAAAGGAGGAATGATGCAATAAGGAACATTTTTTTGTTGCATCCTACCTCCACTTTTTCAGTTGTAGTATTTGACGTTTTTTGTTCAAAAAGTCGAGTTATCATTTGATAAAAATCTGACTCAAATAGAGTTTTCATAAATGGTAACTCTTTGAGTGAAATTTCCGGTTTATCTCCTGGTTTCACTGAAATTATTGTTCAATATAGGCTAGTTCTAAAAGATCCAATGTATTTGGTGCAGTGCTAAATTACAATGTCTATGAAGGGCTAATAGAAAGAAACGTTATCCGTATCTTTCTACATTACTAATTTTCGTTGCACCCTTCTTGGATTGTAAAATGCTCTTCCTACGAGTTGCATTCCTCACTTTGCAGCGCAATTTATATGTACACAAAATAGAAACTTCTCCCATTAGAATTTATGCATCACACATATATGATGCGTGTTAGTGATCATTTCAATATGTAATATTTAATATTTATTACTCTTTAAAGATAATCTTTAAAAAAAAGATGTTTAAATAGATCAAAGAAATTCTTAATTAATATGCAATATTGTTATGAAATATTTAAATGCAAAAGTTGTAAATATTTCAATATTGCAGTAATAATAACTGTACACACCACCAATAACGAAATTGTAACCAATATTTCCATAATGTTCTACTATATTAATTGCTTCTTTTGTTTCTCTTGGGAAACAAACGGATCCAACAATACCAACACCTGTACTAGTATAAAGCAATCGTTTAAAGAAACCTCCTCTAAGACCCAGCACCAATCCTGATAAACCACCAATACCAACAGCTCCTACTCGTGGTAAAAGATTGCTTTCATCTTGAAGATAGTCGACTACAACTATAAAAAATAACAAATGAAATTATATTTACATTTATTAATAAATAAATTATGTGCTTCTTTTGTAATATGATACATCACTTAAAATATATCTATAGAACTCACAAATAAAAAAAGATGTAATTTTAGTAATAGGATGTAATACATACATTTAAAACTGTCAACAGTGGCTGAGACATTATTGGAAACATTGTCATACATAACTTTCAATCCTTGCACAGATTTACGTGCTTTCCTTATGTTTTCCTCCACAACAGATGGGTATTTTACACTGTGAAAGATCATGATCATCATTTTTTTAAGTCATCAAATATCTGCAAAGATCATCGAATAGAATGTTTCTTATGAGTAATACCATAATAAAATGTTTATGTAAACTGATTACTAAACTGCAGTTTTTATGCATTTATAAGTAAATATATTATTTTTTCTTTAATAAACAAAAGAAGGGTTGTCAGAGTTCCTTGGTGTCTTTTCATATTAATAATTTATAATATTTTTAATCTATAATTTTATAAGAATGTACAGCAATATTCTATAGCTAGAGTAATCCTTATAAACATACCATTTTGTTAGTCATATATGAGTTATATGCTGTTGGATAAAATGTAATCAGATTACATTTGCAATGATTGTGACTATGAAGCAAGTACATGTTAAATAGTGTTTTACATAGTAATTACAAAGCTTAATGATATATACTTATTTATTACATGGCAATTACATTATAATTACCATGTAATTATGTACTTATTTCACCAAATGCTAAACTTAGGTGACTGTTAAATATTAATGTCGTATTTTTAAAAATATACTTTATGCATGTGTTCCATAGCAACATGTGGAGTATTATAATAAACACCAGTGGCTGCTATGATACTTTCTTACTGTATCATGACAGACACTTATGTCTACTAAAACATTATCTGCCATTGTAGATAAAACTGAAAAATAACACAGACATTCAATGTGTTAATATATATCATAAATATATAAAATTCATAATTTTCAAGCTATTGATTACTGATATGAACTATAAATTATTGTTTGAACAACTTCTAGATTTAAATCTGAATAAAATAAGGATTCTTTATAAGACACATTTATGTAACAGAATAAAAGGACATTCATTAATATGAAATTACTTGCGCTTTACCATGGCATCTCTTTAGAATACCCATCGTCAACAGAGTAAATGGGTAGCTCCGACGGTTTTATTAAACTTGGTGGTTTTGCTTCGTTACAACATGGTTTAGAATGCTCTTCTGGTGGATTAGCAGGTTTCATTGCTGGTACTGCAGCACATAGTCCACACGGCATCAAGAATTTCTTGAACAACTTCATGTAAACATATATCTGATTTCTTTTTCATATACAAATAATATTAATTAAACTATTTAAGGAAAAAAAAACTGCTACTTCCATTTTTCAGATCTATTACACTTGTTTACTGATAACAGCATTGTACTTTACTCAAATATTCACTTATATTCTATTAAAATTAAGCAAACAATATTACATAAAAAAACTTATTCAATCGAAAATAATAAACCCTACATTTTAATGATTATAAAACTACACATAATCTACATAACTGTATAATTACCATTGTCCGCTGCATTCTAAAATACACAAAGTTCGATCGAAGTATATTTAAAATTGATGGTTTATTTACAAATTACTTCGAAATTTTGAACAATCCTGAAAATATGTAACCTAATTCGACAAATTCAAGATTGGCACTAGCAGAATGAGTTAGCAGACTAATAATAGGTTTTATCAGTATGCGACACCTAGTGTTCATTTCGGAAGTTGTTCATAAATTAATTATCAGATGTAGAAAAAGAGGTAAACTATACAAAATTGAGTGTGTTATTTTTGGTCTGATTATCAGAAAGATATTACATGGATTATCCAACTTGATTTAATATACAATATTCTCTGTTCAGGTGTCACAATTTCTTATTGTCAAGTTAATATATGTATAGTTATTCTCATCATATTCCGGAAATGCTCGTTTAATCGATAATGTAATTTTATTCTATAACGCGACTTGTTTATTTTTTATTCGAATTTGGAATCTAGATAAAAATATTGCTTATCTATGGTGTAGTGTGAATCGAGTCAAAGAGATGAGGTTTCGTCTACCTTCCTCGTAGGCTGTCTCAGCTCGGTCCTGAGCTTGTGACAACCTGAAAGGGAATATTGTTTTCATCACAATCCTGTCAATTGAATTCCTTTAACATATATTATGATGTACACATTTTTCTCATTGATAAATTTATCCGTTATTAAATATTTTGGATATGGTACAATTAAAACAGTAACGGTCGTCTGAGAATGGCGATTATGGATCTGTGACTATAACTCGTTTCGGTAGTTGGTCGCTTTCTTAAAGTATTACTTATTAATTGAAACAAAATTAAAATAGATCATAACACAAAAGATGTACTTACCATATATAAGCGCAGCTAAGCAAAAATTTCAAATGACATAGAATTTATTAGTTAAAAGTAAAAACTTACATTACTTCGTACAAAATTGACATACTGTGCCAAGTTTTTGTTTATGCAGTCATTTGCAAAAATTTCCAACGATTAAAAAGAAGATCACAGAACCGGTCGAATTTGACATTACCTATACTATATCTTATTACATATAATAACCAAAATTTATTGATATTATTTATTGAATAAAAATTAATAATCATTAATGGAATATGTGCTTACCTTTACACTCGTTCTGCCGAATTCCATTAAGACACCCGGTTGATAATCATCACAACGATGCACCGGTTCCCTGCAAGTTATGTCTCTACCAAATACTCTACCAATAGTTGATTCCAAAAACCTATGTACATAATTATTCATAATGATTTTGAATGGTGATTACACTTATTTAAATTTTAAGATTGAAATTTCGTAATTTTTATGTTTCATGAAAAATAAAGGATATTAACTTAATACTAAAATAGCCATTTTTAAATGTGAAATTGTGCTATTTTCATGTGTATCAGTACTTTGTTTAGAGCAGTGCTCGGAATTACTTGCTCATTTCGGGCCGATTCCTGAAGTCTTATTATGTATAGGTCTATAAACATGTGTTGAACATACACATATAATAACAATAATATATGATATAATAATTGCAGCTTTGTCAATAGCTTTCCACATCACCCAAGAGGTATTATTGTTGAAGCGGTTTCTTCAAAGTGGTTTCCTTTATAGACCTATTCCACTAAACGTTAATAAGACCGATAATAAAATATGTGACTTGGCAAGAAAATTGAAATCAAAATTATAAACGTATTAATTTTCATTTGATCTTCTGGGTCGTTTGAACGGTTCTATAAGCAATGGTATATCCACAGATAATTTAGAAGAATTAGTTCGTATCAACGAGGATGATAATTCATCGCTCAAAGACGAACGTTTTCCTGTTTTTATATTTTTCATTTTAGAAAATAAGCTTTTGCATAAATATCTGGACTCAAGCATAGACAAAATTCGAAGACCAAAATTTCGGAGAAATGGATAACGTGATGCATCTAAAATTTTGAAGATCTCAACTCCCTTTTCTAGCCGAGCTTATAAATACAGATCATGTTGCAAATCGTAAAGTTCTGCTTGAAATTGTAGGCTTTGTTCCTCGAATCGCACAGTGAAAGCCCGGGTAGCACCGGACCACCGGACGTCCATTTCATGTCCAGTACTGGCTGGTGCTGGCTGGTACTGGCCATGCTTGGCCACGCCTAGCATTTGACTTCCAGGCCACGGACATCTAGGCAAATGTCTAAACAGTCTCAGTTTGTGGTTGATACACTATTTAGTTTCTTCATTTCACCGCCAAAGTGCGGAGCAGTCAGTTTACATGAGTTGGCATTAGAGTCTGAATGTTTGCATTGTTGAACCCAGCATTTTAGCTGCCCATAGTTGGAAAGCACCGAATTTGATATTATGTTACACAGTGTCACCTTGCACTCTACTGGAAAGGACCTTCATGTACTGGCTGCTCATTTCGATTTCACATCTTTTTCTACTTTCTTGCATTTTTTTAGGGGGATCTTCTATTTTTCTATGATTATTCTTTAAGTCCTCCACTTTTTCATGTACTTGGCGTAATTTTTTTACTTTTTTGAAGTTTTTTATAGGGATTTCACTTCTTTTTACAAAGATAATTTGTATAGTGAATGACTTCAAATAATAGAAAATGGGAGATCAGTTTGAATTCTTTAAGGTTCCAATGTGCGCGGAACGCATTGCAGGAAGTCTCATTGCAAGAAATTTATTAAAGGAAAAATGTAATCACTTTATCAGTAACATTTAAATGCAACAAGACTTTCTGTCATGTGTCGTGGGTACTTTTGAGAAATTAAAGGACTAAGTCTGACCTCTCTTTTTCTATATTATTGTAATACAATAAATTATCTATTACAAATAGTGGATCTCTGTTCATTTTCTCATGTTCTCATTATTTAAATTTGTTACAATTATTTGTATTACATTATTGTAATACAATAAATTATGTGTTACAAGTAGTGGATCTTTGTTCATTTTCTCATTATTTAAATTTCTTGCAACAAAACTGTCTCCCATACATTGTGTGTACTTTTGAAAATTATAAGGACTGAAACTGATATTGGAATACGATTACTTGTGCATTACAAATAGTGGATCTCTTTTTTTATTTCTCGCTTTATCTTTAACATTCGAATTTCTTGCAACAAGACTTTCTGCCACGTGCTCTGCGTTCTTCTGAACTTTATTCTAATACAATAAATTATGCGTTACAAATAGTTGATTTCTTTTTTTCATTTCTCACTTCATCTTTAACATTTAAATTTCTTGCAGTGAGACATCTTGCCATGCGTTCTGTATACTTTTGGAAACTTAATGGACTGAAGCTGGTCTCTTTCCTATATCTGGCTTCAGACACATTACATATATTGTAGACTCTACACTTACTATAATAAAAGACAAATGTATTTTTATCTTAAGCTCTACATTAATTTCCAAGTAAAATAAGGTTTGTATGTGTTATTTACAAATAAAATTAATGTCATATAAATAACGCACAATTTATTATATTACAATACCAGCTTCAGTCTCTTAAGTCTTCAAAAGCACACATAACGCATGGCAGAAAGTCTTGTTGTAACAAACTTAAATGTTAAAAATGAAGTATGAAATGGAAAAAGAGGTCCACTATTTCTAACGCACAATTTCTTATATTACAATACCAGATTCAGTCCTTTGAGTTTTCAAAAGTACGCACAATGCATGTCAGAAAGTCTTGTTGGAAGAAACCAAATGTCACAAATGCAAACTGACAGTTACAGGTTAAAAATGAACGAGCAGCATGAGTGACAGCCATATTACAATTCCGACCGACGAGCCTTGCCGACTGATTCCGAGAGTCGACGAATCGACGAACGGCCTTAGGTCCTACTGGGTAACAAGCAGAGTGCAAGATCTTCAACTCACCAATTTCATTGAAACTTTGTACATTTATAGATTTCGTTCCCCTGATTACGATTATATACCATTATAGGGACAGACACTCAATAGTTTTTGAGATATTTGTAATTAAAGTTGTATTATTACCTTGATGTACGAGTTTAGTTGCAACAATCGTCAACTATAATGATGGCGCACCGGTAGTTTACCAGACTCTTACGCCGCTGACCGGGGTTCAAATCCTTTTCCTAGTAAGAGTTCTTTTTTTTTGTTCTAATTAATTCATTTTCATACACGAACATTCAAAATGGTAAACAATATAATAAAAATATTAATCCTCCGCCCAACAGCTACGATATATACATATATGCGTTGAGCTCTATCCCATTGAGCTCTTTCCTAACTGGAATGTGAACTCCTGTAGGAAGAAGTATAGACGATGGAGGTCCGAAAAAAATGCAAAATGGGTAGTTCCGGTATTATCCTACAGCAAATTTATTTGTAGAGGGGGAACAAACGTACGCCGTAACATAACCTACCCGAGCATCGCTGAGCATTGTCGAGTAAGTTACTTTCAGATTCTTTTCCATATAAAATTGGATAAATACAATATAAATTGAATTGTGACAAATAATAAAATTTAGCTCTTTTGTTGTGGAACGCGTCGTGCGGTGATAGGGCATTTTCTGACGTGAGTAAGGTGCCCGTGGAGCGCTAAACCGCTCTGCCCGGAGAGGCGCGTGAAATAAAAATTCGAAATACTTTTAGGAAAAAGCAAAGACGTTTATTCAGTCGACTCGTTTGGTTTAAATCGTTTCGTAGTTCGTTACCAGAGGTTCGATTACGATTGATCCAGGGCCCACAAGCTCCCGTATTTAGCGTTGAAGCCCAATCTAACACGCGCCCGTCGCGGATGATGGCGCCAGTGTCGTTACTACTACATACATATAATCCGTGAGACACACACACAACGGTATGGTACCACGTATGTGTATTTATACTTGCTTTAAAATTAATCTAAATAAAAAAATAATTATAGGGAAAAAAACACAACTTATACAAAATTAAATTTATTATCACCGGAAAACATTGAAAAAACAATAAAGAATCTAAAATTCAATTGTATAAAATATATATACAAAAAATATATTGATTTACATTATATCAACATTCATACATATATGTTCATATAAAATGTATAAAAATACAAACAGAACAATAATATAAAAATGCATATATATTCACATAATAAAGTGTAAACATTTAAAATCAGCAAAATTCGTGGCTTTGCGCCTAAGAACATGATCACTCATGATCTTAATCGAAGAACCGTGACTCTTGCTGGTTTTAAATGTTTACGTATATATATGTATTCGTTCATACATACGATTGCATTACAATCCACACACTCATACATATTCGTACATATAAAATATATAAAAATACAAACGCAACAATAATATAAAAATGCATACAGAGGGTGTCCCAGAACTCCTGTAAGAACCGGAAATGGAGGGTAGCTGATACGATTCTGAACAACAATTTCCTTTGCAAAAATGTTGTTGGAGGCTTCATTTTTGAATTATTAACGAAAAATGAAGCTCCCACCCCAATAATTAATGTTTAACTATTACATCTAGTATTTTTTAAAATATTTTATACCTTTAAGGCCTTTTCTGATAGCTGGTTGAACTTGATTCCTTTGGACAGTGCAACCTGTAATTGTAACAAAAAATGAATAGAAGCACTTTTTAAATGACACGCATAATACTAAATACCTATCATAATTAAAAAAAGGAATGTAATAGAAGATAATATTATTGTAAGGTAATACACTCACCTCTGGATGATCCCGGAAGCACATTATAGGCAAGTGCGTCGGAGTCTCTGCTGGTCCCAGGTCCTACGTAGTCCTTCGGTCCCACGTCGTCCTTAGGTCCCACGTTGTCCATAGGTCCCACGTCGTCCATAGGTCCCACGTTATCCATTGGTCCCACGTTGTCCTTAGGTCCCACGTTGTACTGGTATCCAACAGTGAGCACAGGTTGATCTATATTAACAAAATTATATAACATTATATATACACTTAATGTTGGAGGTCTTCTCATTTATATGTGGTGTATTAAGTGTATTAAGATCAAAAACTTACATTCTTCTTCTTCTTCAATTTCCATTACAAGTTCCTCCTGTTGCTCGATAGATGTGGCAGGTGCTAATAGAATTTAATAAATATTTTCATTAATAATTTGTTAAATATAGTTTAAGAAGTGTATAGTCAATTATTACCTGGTAAGTTGCAGCTTGGTGCTGCATGACTTGTAAGCTTTGATCCAACGCGGTAATGAATTTCGAAGTGGTCCCCACAAACCACTCGATTTCTCAACCGGCTGGGAGGGAGTTGGAATAGATCTTCCGTTCCACAAGCTTCAAGCCATTTTAAACATCTATCGCTGTCCTTCGACAGACAGGGGAAGCTGAATATCGGCTGCCTGGTGTTTGTGCACCCCAGTACAGCACATTTTTTGTGGGGCCTATAAATACATATTTACATAAAGAAAAAATTAATAATTAAAAATTAATAACTAAAAATTTCGAAATTTTTAATAATTAAAAATTAATAATTAATAATTTCGAAATTTTTTCTAGATATGATTTCAATAAATAATCAAATGTACTATGAGCCGAAAAAGTATTCGGACACCTTTTAAATGCTTTTAAAATGCAATTGAAATGAATTGAAAGGAAAGGACAAAACAGGATAAAAGAAAGCACGGGAAAAACCGTCCTTTCGTATTGTAACAAAATATATAAAAGCCGTATTTTTTCTTTTAGTAATTATTTAGTATTTTTATAAAAATAATAACTATTTACCTCTTATTGTTATCCATAATCGGTGTGAACTAAAAACACTATCGCAGAACCACGCAGAACCGGCAGCACACAGCAGCACACAGCACTTACTTGCACCATGCACTTGCATCCACTTACATGCACTCGCTATCACGTTATGACCATATGGAGTTGAAATTTTGCCGCACTTTGCCGAGCGCGTTCGCCATAGAATAAACGTACACAGAATATGAACCCAATGGCGCGAAAGGAGTGATAGTAGCGCCATCATCCCCGACGGGCGCGAGATAAAATCGGGCTTCAAGTTCACAAGAGTAGTGCTTATAGGGCCTGGATTGATCTCTCTGGAAAAATCCTCGCTCGATCTGCTGCTTCTCTCCCTTCTCCAGAAGATTCCTGATCCTCCCTTCGGGTTGTCCTGGTCCAATCGGGGATTGCGCCCTATTCCTTCTATCGGTGATCTTCATCGATCTTGGATCCACCCTAGAGTCGGGTGGAGGCGGGAGTCGCGCGGCCATGTTTGTGCAGGACTACATGTGAAAAGGGAAAACGTGGAGGTCTAGAGAGAAAACGCGCCAGCGAGACACAGCAACCCTTAAGGAAATTTATTACCCTCTTAGAGAAGTCGCCGAAAACGCGAACCGAGGTACAGCGCGAGTCTGTTATTTTCAAGGATCTTACGAGTTGGAGCAAAAGCTAACTCGACTTGAATTCTAAAGAAATGCATTCCAACGGAAACGGCGATTCGACACGGCCTATAATGAATCTATCAAGTATTTTCAGCGAACGTTCCCTTTTCTCTCCTGACTTTTGACTTTCCCACGCTTGATCATCCACGTTGAATGTTTTAACAATGTACGTAGCGGTTCGTTGATTCAATGCGTTAATCCATTTGGATTCCCCTCCTAATTTGAATATAAATATATACTACATGCGGTAGTGTTTAAGCTATTCCGCGTTGTGGCACTACATGCCATGAAGCTGAGTTCACGTGATAGCGTAACACTCTATACCAAATTGTACATATTTGTATGATCTAACTAATTGAAACTTTGTACATTTATAGCCGGTAGAGTACCAGACTCGTAATAACACGGAGTCTCGCCGAGACAGCGGTCGTGTGCGCATCGGTCACCGATCGCTCTGTAGAAATCACTTAGTTTTTTGGCGACTTCAATGTAAACATTGTGCTAGCCGAGTTAAAAAAAAAAAACACCAAATAGTGCTGTAAGAGTGTGTGGCTCATATCGCTTGAAAAGTTAAAGTTAAAATAACCATACAAATAGTGAAATATAAACCGACGCGACCCGTTGGGCCGCTTCAACGCGAGGCACAAGTCAAAATGGCCGAAGAAAATAATAAGCGTTATGCTACCCCGTTGGGCAACCCAACTAGACCGATCACATCGTTTCCGACACCGCGGCCTCGCATCAAATCCAACATAAAGCTCAATTCAATACAACTTTGTCGGCTTTACAAACAAGCCCTTACAGATCGTACAGCAACGAGCAACATAACCTACAAAGAAAACGTGGCGCCTAACCTATCCATGGCACGAAAACGCAAGACATCAGTGTCGCCGCCAGTGGTAGACGACGAAAGCCCGTTCACTAGTAAGGCAGGATTACCAACAGACGGCTGGCAATCTCCTAAAAAAACTGCCAAGAAAAGACAGGTATTAGATGAACTCCAACCACCGGCGCCCAACACCATTAACAGATATGAATCACTATCAGATGTCAGCGACATAGATGTAGCTAACAACAAGGAAGATGCACCAGCAGTGCAATTGAAAAAGCGCGAACGTCCTCCACCAATATATACAGAAAAAATAACGATGACAGAGCTTATTGACCTCATAAAGAATGCAAACATCCAAAAAAACCAATTTATTATCAGGAGATTTGAGACAGACAGCGAAGATGACCATCAACACACCATGTATACGACTCAGATCAACCACTATAAGGCTATCATAGAAGCGTTGAAAAACAAAACTACACCATTCTATACTTACACACCAAAAGACCATAAACCTAAATCCTTTGTACTAAAAGGTGTGAAAGGCGACTTCTCAATGGACTACATTAAAAAAGAAATTGAAGATCTCCAGTTACCCGGAGTAGTCATCCTAGATGTAGCAGAATTCCGATTTGATAGAAATCGTCCTAATAGGCACCATCATATAGTGCAACTATCAAACAGCAGCCCCACTACTAACCTTCTCAACGTTAGGGCACTTGCTTATTAGCAGGTCAAGTGGGAAAGGTTACGTAAACCCGAAGTGTTCCAATGCAAAAAGTGTCAAAGAGTTGACCACTCCAGCCGTAATTGCAATCTGGAATTTAGATGTGTTAAATGTGCCCAATCTCACGGACCTGGCAACTGCAGTATTCAACAAGTTGAAGACAAATCTCTTTTAAAATGGGCAAACTGTAGCGAAACAGGACACCCAGCCTTGTACAAAGGATGTCCGTACCTGAAACTGGCACGTGACATCAGAAAACAACATAAGCATATCCGCCAAGTAAACACGCAGCAGCGACTAACAAAAATCCATTCTCGAGTCAACGGAAACATATATTTTGCTCAAATGGCGAAAAAGAACATCCTCACCCACGCACAACAGACACAGAATGGTGAAGACCGGATCCCAGCTCATGCAACCCCAATCATCGCACCCCAACACACTCCAAGTCAACCACCACCACCACCATCGCAGGAACCTGCATGGCTTTCGGGTCTAAAAAATGATCTGTCAACCCTAATCACGAACCAGCTTAAAAGCATTTCAACACAAGTAGCAACGAACACTGCCAAAATCGAATTCATACTCAATTCTTTATATCAAAATGGTCAGGTCCAATTCCACTAAACGAATTTAATGTTTCAGCAATAAATGTTAACTCAATTATTGCCAACTACAGACGACTGGAACTCACAGAATACCTGACACGACACAAACATGACATAATTTTTTTTTTCACCTGTCTGTTTTATGTCGCATCGAATACAAGGTCATTAGCGACAGAACTATTTGCGATTTTTTAAATCTTAGAATATATATTAATGTCTTTGAGGAAGTCTATTGTATTTCTGATATGGTCCTGCACTGTTAGGGCTGAGTCTGGTTTGACTCCGTATTTTTTCCTTTTCTGTTCTATTTCTTTACATTTGTATAATAGGTGGTTTATTGTTAGACGATGGGTTTGACAAAAATGACATTTGGGGGGTTCGGATTTGGTGATGAGGTAGTCGTTGGTGATTTTTGTTTGGCCAGTTCTCAATCGAGACAATACAGATTTTTCTGTCCTGTTGAGGTTTATGGTTGGTATTTGCTGATAGAAGTTCTGGATGATGTTGTGAATTTTTGTTATGTTGGTTGTGGTCCAAATTTTATTCCATTCTTCTTTTGTTTTTGTTTTTACATTAATTATTTGGTCAAGACATGGTATTGGTGTTGCAGGTTCGTTTGGTGGTAGTTCGGTTGCTTCTTTTGCGGGGTGTCTGCTTTTTCGTTTCCAATTATTCCTTGATGAGAGGGAATCCAAATAATTGTGGTGTTTATTTTTCTATTTGTGAGTTCTGTGTACATTTCTTGGATTTCTTGGATAATTTCGTGCTTGTCCTTTCTATTGGTTGACTGTAGAGCCTTGATCACACTCATGGAGTCAGAGTAAATCACCGAGTTTTGTACATTATTTTTGTTTATATATTTCAGGGCATTTAGGATTGCATATGCTTCAGCAGTAAAGATAAATGTAACTTTGGGGAGGTTCTGTTGGATTTTTTTATTGTCTGTAATAATAGCATACCCAACGCCTCGCTCTGATTTCGATGCATCTGTATACATTTGTTTGTATTGGACATATTTATTGTTGAGATCTAGGAATTTGGATTTGTGTTCAATTCTGCTTTGTTCGTTTTTTAACCTTTCGTCGAGTTCAATGTTGGTTTGGGGAATTTTTATAGTCCATGGTGCTATTCTTCCTGGTTTGCGTTCTATGGTAGGGGTCTTTTCGATTTTATACAATTGTAGCATTTTTCTTATTCTTATATAAAATGGTGGAGGGAGTTTGTGTTTTTTGTTGTGAAGCTGCGTGTATTTGTTGGTGAACATATAATTAAATGGCTTAAGAATTTTCTTCTTTGTTCAAGATTCATTTCCGTAGATTCGAATAAAATGCTACTTATCGGGGCTGTACGGAATACGCCTGTAGCAATTCTTAGTGCCGAGTGTTGAGTTGATTCTATTATTTTTAATACGTGATGTTTAGCTGATCCATATAAAATTGATCCGTAATCTATTTTTGATCGTATTAGTGCCCGGTATGTTTTAAGTAGAACTTCCTGATCGGCCCCCCAATTATTGTTAGCTAGTACTTTCATGATGTTTATTCTTTTGATGCAAGTTTCTTTTAGGTGTTTCATATGTGGAATCCAGGTCAGTTTTTTGTCCAGTAATAGTCCAAGAAGTTTAACATTATCTACATTTTGAATTTCAGAGTTATACAAATATATTTTTGGTTGGTTTTGGCATTTCATTTTTCTAGTGAACAGTATACATTGTGTTTTTTGGATTGAAAACTTGAGACCAGATTTTTTAGACCACGAGAGAACGTTCATGGTTGATTGTAGGTGTTCATTTATTGTGTTTAAATTATTTCCATTGCATGTTATTGTGAGATCGTCTGCGAATAGGTGGCTCTTGACAGGAAGTTTGACGTTTTTGGTAATATCATTAATTCCTATTAGAAACAAAGTTACACTCATGACTGAACCTTGGGGAAGACCTTTTTCGATAATTGTGATTTTTGAGAGTATTCCATTTGCTCTAACTTGGATGGTTCTATCTTTAAGGAAGAATATTATAAAGGCTAATATATTTCCGTTTATATTTAGTTTGACAAGTGTTTCAACGATTTTTGGTTTCCAGATCATATCGTATGCTTTTTCTATATCTAAGCATATTGCCACGAGGAGTTCGTTTTTTAGAAAAGTGTCATGTATGTTTGTTACAATGTTTGTTAGAGCATCTGTCGTGGAGCGGTATTGACGGAAACCAAATTGGTTTGGGTTTAGAATATTGTTAGTTTCTAGATACCATCTAAGTCTTTTATTTACGATTTTTTCTAGTGTTTTGCACATGGTGTTTGTTAAGGTGATTGGTCGGTAGCTCTCTGATTTGTGTTTGTTTTTGTTTGGTTTAAGAATAGGAATGATTATTGCTTTTTGCCATTGTTTAGGGAAGACTTTATGGATCCAGATGCAGTTGTAGATTTTTAATAAGTATGCGATTCCGTCTATAGGAAGTTTTTTGAGTAATCTGTTTGGGATATTGTCGGGGCCTGGTGCTGAGTTTTTTGTGATGGAGAGAGTACTTTTTATTTCATCGATTGTTATTGGTAAGTTTAATTCTTGGTTTGTGTTGTTTTTGTCTGTGTGTTTTATGATATCGTTAAGAGTGGTTTCCTGATCTGGTTGATTTAAAAGAGATGACGGATGGTAGTTTCTATTTCCTGAGTTTAGTTTGAATTGTTCTGCAAGGGTGTTAGCAATGTCATCTGAATTAGTTACTACTGTATTTGTGTCAGATTCAAAAAAGGTGATGTAGGAGGACGACCGATGTCCATTTATACATTTAATTTTTTTCCATACCTCTTTTGGTGATGTTTGGTTGGTTATTGAGGATACATACACTTTCCATGATTCTTTCTTGCTTTCCTTAATTTTTCTACGGAAGATGGCTCGGAGTTTTTTGAACTCGATTAGATTTTCTGAGGTAGGATGTCTCTTTGCTCGATTGAAAGCATGATGACTTTCTCTTAAGGCTATTTTACAGTTCTCATTCCATCAGGGTACAGTTTGTTTCTTTTCTTTATTAATTTTAACATTTTTGGAAGGTATTCCTGCTGCAGTTGTAATTATGTTTTCAAACTCGTTTATTGTTTCGTTGATTGTAGTAGGGTTTATTTCAATGTGTTTTTCTTTTTCTACAAGGATACGTGTTATGTTTTCTTTA